TAATAATAATAATAATAAGAATAAGAATAATAATAATAATAATTAATAATAATAATAATAATAACAACAACAATAATAACAATAATAGTAATAATAATAATAGTATTTATATACTTCTAATAATAAGAATTTACCTGTTGATATTTAATGAAGATAATTTTGATATTATTAATTTATTGAACAAAAAAGAAGATTCAGGTGATGTAGAAGGAGAATATTCGGATGATGAGGAGAGTGAAATGTTAAAACCGTTTTCCAGCCAAGACCTCGATGAGGAAATTGAAAAAGGGCGTGCAGCAAAAGCCCAACTGGGTATGTAACTAATTAATTGCAACTTCATTAACGTAGGCCATGATAACTTTAATGGATGTAACACATAACAAGGAGCATACTATACATATTGAGTGAGTACTTACCTGGATGAACTTATATAAGTCAACCACCTGTACCAATTCCTCACCCTCCCATTTGGGTGGTTCACAGCCACTGGCTTCTATCTACTAATACAAGTAAGTATCTCACTCACTACCATCATCATTGCTGTCATGACCTAGGCCATGGTAAATTTTGTTGACTGTAGAATACAAAATTTGATTTCAGTTGATTTACATACATAATAAAAAACATGACATATAACAAGGATAATTTTGCTGTTGCAGACAGGAAGTGAATACCTGTATAACTCTAGGATAAATTATTACAAATCATTGTTAATAAATAATTACACTGTACTGGAAAAATTAAGAAGAATAATAAAATTATATTTGTCAATCATTGTTTTCTTCAAACAGGTTTATGGGATAGCTTTATGGAGGTGCGCATCAAACTTCAGAAAGCGCTTTCAACAACTAATCAAATACCCCAGTACGATACATTCCCACCAATCAGAGCAGTTGGTGGCAAAGACTTAAACCAAGCACAAAACAAAGGTTTGTTGATAATTATTTGGTATTGATATTGCACCTTTCCTTTAGATTAAGAAGCCTTTTTATCCCTGGTCATTGGGTCCACATGCTTAAGTGTTGCTGCCATATTGGTGCAGTAGCAGGCAACCCCACCAGGTACCCATTTATACTCATGGGAGGAGAGAAGCAATGCAGATAAAGTGCCTTGCTCAAGGACACAAGTGCATTGCACAGCGAGAAATTGAAACACCAACCTTGATGTGGGGAAACCAAACTGTTCCCGCTGCACCAAACCTCTTCCACGTGCATATATTTGATCTGTCTCTTGGTTAGTGAACAATACATTAATTTCTAAGTCTTGAATTGGTATTTTTCTGTTATTAATTTATCAAAATACATTTTATTTGCCTTATTTTTCAGCAAAGGGAGAATTAAAAAGTTTATTAGACACACTTCTGGACCTCCAAGAAATACTTTTAGTGCAAAATCCTGAGAGCAAACATGTGATTCAGGGTGGAAAACCCCAACCTACAGCTGAGTAAGATTTTAAACTTATATTTTTAAAACTATAAGCTGTTCGATGTAAAACCCTATCTTTTAATTAAACATTATCTATATTTTTTATAAATTGTAATAAATTTTAAATTTTGTATATACTTTAAAGTGATGATGATGAAGAAATTCCAAGTGATGAGGAGGAAATTCCAAGTGAGGATGAAGATGTACAGATTACCAAAGAGAATGATCAGGAGGATGTGTCAAGTATGGAAGATGATGGAACAAATGTACCGCCCTCTAAAAGAGAGAAAAGAAAACTGCAGAATTATGAAGAAATTGTTGCAAAAAGGCATAAAAACTTCCATGAATTCAGAAATATGACGTTACAGAAATGGCATGATAAAACAAAGATAGCCTCAGGGAAGATAAATAGCAAAGTGAGTGATAAAAGTCAATAATTCTGATAAAAAAAAAACCAAAAAAAAAAAAAAAATCA